TGTAAGTATTGATTGTTTGTTTGAGAACTTTTTGATAGAAAGAAAACANACCAGTCATTCGATAATTAAACTCCTGTTGATTTATAATACGCCAGTAATAATATTATTTGAAAATTATTCCGGAAATTATTTTATTCCTGTAAGTATTGATTGTTTGTTTGAGAACTTTTTGATAGAAAGAAAACATGGTTTTCTTTATCGTGGTTTTCTTCTAAAATTAGTTGCCAGAAATTTCACCTCGCTTTATTTCATTTAATAATTTTCGACCTGATCGGTTTTTACCTTTCTTCCGTTAAAACTAAACATTACATCTACTATTAAAGACTTCGTAACGTCAAGTATAATGTTATATGTGTCCTTCTTAAGAGGCTTATGTTATTGAGCGCTAAATATTCCTCTAATTTTGTCAAAGTTAAATTGAATAGTTTTTAAAATCATTGGCCAATTTAGTGATTAACAATGATAAAATACAGTTAATCACTTTTCCTCTCGTCTTTTTGATCTTTTCATCATTCCCTAGAAAAGCCACTAGCTTTCAAAGTAAAGAAAATGCATAGTGATCTGTTGAATGATTTTTCTCAATCATAAACGCAGGAGTGACTGTCAGGAATAGATTGTCCCGTAAATCAATCAATAAGCCTACCTTCCATTATTATTTATCTTATGAATGAGGTACACCAATGAAGTGTAATTACAGTGAAAATAAAAACAATTAAGGCCCTTAAAATGGATTTCTTTACTATTGTTAAAAACGAAAGAATGTGGAATATATCGAAGGGAACAAGAGGTCATTGTCCATCACAATGGCTTTTCCGCCAAGTTCGTGAAGTTCACATTTGAATGTTTTGGTGTATTCGTTAGTCTATCCGTTCGATTGATTTTAACTTGATCTCCACTGATGACTCGTCGAATCATAAAATGTGAATTGTGAATATTTATAATTTTATACGAATAATCATAAAGCGTTGCAGACGTAAACTGTATAGCGTAATTCACGTGACATACATTTCTAAGATAATATAATTTATATGAAAATGGGAAATATATAACAGATAGTATAGCACTCATTATTTGTATTATTTAATATCGTTTCAGCAATAATTATAAATAATTATGTATACGATTGCTTAATATTTGTAAATAATTCGAGAAAAAAGATAATATATTGGAGAAGAGAAAATTCATACTTCCATCTTTCATCTCACAGATTAATTTATATTTCCATTTTTTAAACTATTTCAAAAATTTATTCATTTGTTATTTTCTCTATCTTAATTTTAATATTTCATATCTGATTTGCCTCTCTATATATTTAACCTCGAAATATCGTAATAACCAATTGAACTAATGATATAAAGTTTCTTACAGTACATTCCTTATAGTTTTATTATTAATTATTATTATAATGATAAGTTAAAAAAGGATGATATCTATCTATACATAAGCTGGTAGTTGTGTCCATATCGATATCCATCCATATTTTTATTAATATAACTGAAAAACAAATTGATCAGAAGAATGCCATTCCTTTTTTCGCCTTTTCCCATTGGCTTTATTTAATGCAAATTTTAAGGAAATCTGTAAGTTATTCTTGTCCTGTTTTTTTCTTGTTAACATATTTAAAAAATGCCTTTCCAAAATTCGCGAAAATTTTTCCATGTCCTTAATTTTTTAACAACAATGCTTCCCATTGGATTTTACGGATCGATCGATCGATCAATTCTATTCAAGCCTTGCTGATAGAAAAAAACGATAGCTTTCCTTTTATTACAGCCTGAAGTATAGTGAAAATAATTTATGCTACATTTTTCAAAATAATTTTACTGGCTTAATTTAGAATGAAAATTGTTGTTATTTTGATAATAATGCCAGGAAGAGTGGGAAATGGAAAGTGAAACGTTTTCAACTTTGTTGTTGTGAGATTTGAGAAACTGAAAAACAAAAGATCTTTTAATTAACAATTAAAAGATTCTGGGATAAATGAATTTTGTGTTTTCCTTTTGCAAAAGTTTTCTTTGAACATTAGTGTTTAATACCAATCAAACGGATTTTGATTGAAACATAAATCTAAAAAAAGTTGTATTTTCTCATTTTATAGTTGTAAAGATATTCTGCCGCAGAAGGCAGTGCGTAATTTCCTCCTTTGAATAATTTATTTAATTTTTTCTATAAGAAATGTTCGAGCAATTTTTTAATTATTTATTTTGCAATTAATTATTGATAAAACCGCGAAATTACCTTTCGACAAACCTCTGAATATTATTGTTCTCCAAGCGACGTTCTCGTTTGTGGACGAGAACGTCTTCCAAAAATAAAGCGATATGATATACCGCCATTTTATATCCAATAACCTCATTAGCTTGGCTGTCCTGTACACTGCACAATTCAGGACAACCAAGTAAGGCACATAATTCACCGCTAAGGTCGCCAAACCTCTGTGAGGAATGAAAGACGAAGTGACCGTTTCAACTGACATATTTAAGATGCATTGTTGTTATTATTAAGTGGATTATTGTCCAGCAATGATCATAGAAATAAAGATGTTGCTCATGATCATAGAAATGAAGATGTAGAAATGTGGATAATGGCAATTCTTCCGCTGAATTATTTTTGAATCGAGGTTGACCTGTGATTTCTTTTATTGTGAATTTCGTGATAAGAACAAAGATTGTGATGTTTGTTAATTCAATAGTTGAAATGCTATCAATTTAGATTCCTCGAAAAATTTGTCCAAATAAGTAAATTCAGCAAGTAAATTTCATACTGAAAATTTAAAAAAAAGGTTGATTCCGAAAGCTTCCAAATAGGTTTAAAATTTAATTTTTCGTCGACAAATTAAGTAATTACACCGATCAAATATCACAATTTAATTACTCAAAATGACAGTTCTTCCTCCGTGTGAAAATTACTATTAGATTCGATAAATGGCACTCAGACATTTTCGACGTTTTCGTTTGTGAACGAACGTCTTCCAAAAAATAACCAAGCGGGAAAACCGCCACTTCACTTTCAGTTTATTTTCTCATACACCTTGATTGCCCTGTGCAGTCTGCAGTCCAGGACAACCAAGGAAGGCACATAATTCACCCACTGGGGTCGTTTAAACCCCTATGAGGAATGAAAGACAAATTGACCTTTCAACTGTCATACTTACGATACATTGCTGTTACCATTAAGTGGGTTATTGTCTAGCAATGATCATAGAAATAAAGATAGAGTTGTTTCTGTTATAATTTTGCTTTGATATTTTGGTAGTTAATTCATTTCTCACTTTATTACTTATATTTCATTTTCACTTATTCTTCGGCTAATTCACAATTTTCATAAATTCTCTTTCTTTTTCAAATGGAAATTGAATAACTTACTTATATTTGTGTACAACTTATTTATATATTTATTTCATTAAATTATTCAAATTAAATTTGTATTGAAAAATGGATAAATGAAAATGAATTGAGGAAGGAACTTTAATTTATGTGAGATGAAGCGATAATTGGTTTTGCTAATTTCATTCATCGAAAGATATTTTATTGTTTTAACAATTCATTTTGATAATTTCAAATTATCTTTATTCCATTCATTGCATTATAATCATTTAATAGTACACTAATTCTTAATTATCCTATTTGAAATGGAAATGTTCAATTTTTCTTCTCTCACATTTTGTATGAGTAGTTTCATTTATGATTGCTATATATTTCATTAGAATATTTATGCTTCTAAATAGAATAAGGATGGTTATGTACGATTGATGAAATTGCAATATTTCAAATTACGGAATAGCTTAAAAGGATTTTAATTTCAAAAAATTATTTTAAATTATTTCATTAAAACTTTAACGATATATTTTCAAATGAAACTATTTCAGTCGAATAATGTCATTTAATTAATTGTCGAAATATGAGAAAAGGGACAGTTCAACAATTTGCATACTTCCGAAACTTTCATAGAATATCATCAACTTAACTGTAAGAAAGTTTATGTCAAATAACTTATGCATATCTTTACTTTCTATTACTTTTCGTAATAGCGCAAGTTGGAGTATAATATTAAAGATTCACTTTTTTTTTTAATTATTGTGTTTCAGAATTTTGAAATTTTACTATACTAATTATATGTAAGCATGGTAAAAATTTCTTTGGGATTTTCTTATAAAATTCCTTAAAATTTTCTTCAGAATTTTTTTAAAGGAAAATTTATTTTCTCATTGAGCAATTATACCTTTTGTTCTTTGAGATTTATGAGGCGTAAGAAAGAGGAAGAAAGGATCGAAATGAGATGAAAAGTGTTATAACTAATGCTCTTTTAGCAAAAATCTTGCCAGCTAAACGAATTTATCTATCAATTTGTTGAATTTACGTATCGCAAAGTTGTTGTTGCTGATGTCGAAGATAAGTTTGTCCTTGTTGTTGAAGATAAATTGTACATCCATGCATACATACATACATACACATATATATATATGTTTCGTGATTTAATCATTATTTACGTAACTTTTTTTTAATTTTAAATTTCATAAAAATTTGTTAGAAATGAAGGATTTCTTTTCAGAGTGGAATACGTTAGATAAAAGAAGAGAAAGTGTAAATTGCGTTTACATATGCGTTGAATATTCATTCTTCTTCATGCATGATATGTTATTATTTATTGCTTGAAAATTCACGTTTTTTGGTACTGCTTATTCTCTATTTTTCTAATGTTATTTTGACGAAGAAGAAATTGTAATTTTGCTATCGTCTAAAAACGCCGGTAGATTTTCAACCTTTCCTGAACAACTGGTACTCTCCAGGTTACCATTATTGTAATCATTGCTGCCATCATCAGAATATTATCACTTCAAAAAGTATATTAGCGGTAATATACGTAACATTCCATCACTATCCCTTGAAAGTCTCCTTCTTTTTTTCGATTTCAAAATCTAATTTTGAAAAGTAAAGAAATTTTTTCTGAAACTGATTACCGTTACTGTAATAATCGCTGCATTGCATTAATTTTAACTTTTAGGACGTCGTCTCTGTTGCATCGCCACCGCAGCTTAAGGCCGCGACGCGGCGGCCTACAGCTTCCTCTACATCATAATTATCATTATCGTCATTATTATCTCTGTCATCATCATCATCACTATTATTATTATCATAATCAAAAGCCTGAAATTGCAATACGATACGACGACGCTAAGCATCGGTTCCTTAACAAACGATGCGCGCTGTTAGTACTTTACTCTTTTCCTTATCAATTTGATCGTTACTCATCAAAACTTACAAATATCTTAAACTTGTTTGAAACAAAATTCTACTCTCATTTACTAATATTTTTCACTACGGAGATCTGCTAATTTCGAAAATTTCCAGTGTTTGAAATGTTTTATTCTAATAAGCATAATGAAATTACCGCCCTTCTTTTGTTGTACGAATGATTAGCGATCTCTCCGATGTTGTGGTGGTGTATTTGTGATACCTGTAGTATTATTTGTCCTTTCAGGTTATTTAATAATTTAAAAATTGAAGAAGTGCAATTATTAATAATGATAAGATCACGTCGGGTAAGGTCAAAAATAATCCCAAAATATTCGGATGAATTTCAAAATTTGAATTTTGAAAGTATTAAGACATTTCAATTTAAAAGCGCTGTAATATTTGCATGTAACGATAAGTGTATAACAATGTTGAAGGTAAATCATTTCAGGAATTACTGATAAAATAAATATTAATTATGTAGTAAACATAAAGTAATCAGTAAAAGATAAGAAATGATCAAAATCTCAAATTCAATTAATATTTCTGTAAAAATATTTAAAAATTTTCTCCAAGAAGTTCAATGAGACAAAAAATTATGTATTATCATTGCAACATTTTCATATATTTTTCCCACAAAAACTTTTATTATATCTAAAGATCCATGAAATTACAATAGTACTTAATTTGTCATTTTTCACAGAATAGTTTAGCCTACAGCAATCAGAACTAAAATTAGAAATGCATTTCAAATTTCAACTTTTGAATTTTTCATCAGAGAAGTTCGATAAATGTATACTTGTTACCATAATTTGTAGTCATTATAGCTGCACTTAAAATAGTAATAATTCAGTTCAAAGAAGGAAAAAATTATAGAAACATTTCGGATACATCAATTTACGAAATAATCAATTTCTTTCAAAGCTTTATTCGGGGAAGATAAGAAATCTGGTCAGAAGCAAATACATGAAGTATTTCTCCTTCTATCAAAATTTAATTATTTCTTCATTGTTCTCCTATCAATCAAATTGAATACATCTTATTTGTATAATCCATTTTCATTAAATAGCTCTATTGGCTTCAATGCGATGAGAAATAGCATTAAAAATTTATTCAAAATTTTTAAGCTTAAAATTTTTTCTATTACTTTTATTATTATTGGGAATAATTATTTCCTTTGAGGAACAAGCTTATCCTTTTAAAGCATAATTAGGCATAATAATAATTTCCTTTAAAGAACAAAGTTATCCTTTTAAGGCATAATTAGGCATAATTTTAAATTAATTTAAATTCAGTTTTTCTTCTCAATTGTATTCATTTTTTTAGCATCAAAAATAACTCATTAAAATTTAAATTTATTAACATGAAATGCATCATCGATTGCTTCTGTTTATTTGCATCGTTTAATTTTGTTTATTTCCAGCGATAAATTCTAGAAAATCCCATCTATTATTTTTCATTCGATGTGCACAAATGTTTTGCTGCCGTGGAACAGTCATTGTTAGTTTCAAATCACAGTTAGGATTTTCTGCAAATTATCCTTTCAAATAAATATATAAAGTTTGTAAACATATATGAGCAGCTAATATATTGTCATCAATGCATTTGAATGATATGCATAAGTTGGAGAGAAACTAAAATTTCATTTTCATTTCTTTGACTATTTTTTTGTTTATTAAATATTACGATTGATAACTATAATATAATTTTTTTTTACTCTGCTTTAATAATTAAGTTGAGTTTAATTAATATTGAAAATGATAATGAAATAATGCTTGAGAAATTATTATTTCATGGAAATTTTTATTTTCCTAAAAATAATTTAATGATATTTTTCATTATCATTGCATTATGTTAATTTGATGTTAATTATTTTTGGCTATTTCTATTTTCAGTAAGTTTAAAAAATGATAAAATTGTTAACTAAATTCAGTGAAATCACAACTATTCGCTTTGATTGCCAATTTCAACAAATTTTCAATTTTTTAATTTTGAAAAATTCTAATTTTATTTACTCATCCATTATGACTTTTCTAATTTATCATTTCCTATTCTTTCATAAATTCATTTATTATTTTAAGAATTACCTTTTTACATATTGTAGTAGCATTATGCTCATCAAAAATGAAAGAAAATTAGGCTTAACTTCATTCCATTCCACCACCACTACTGAAAGAAGAAAATTAGGCTTTACTCCACTCCATTCCACCACTACCATCACTACGATCACTATTACTATTACTATCATCCTATTTTATGGAACAGTAAAGAATAAAAAGTGTTTTTGGCTAAATTTTAATCTATGCCTTTTCTTTAGGATTAAATAAATATGATAATAGTAATGCTGTTATTTTCAAAATTACATTTTATATTGTTGATTGAAAGCTGCGCTTATTTTACTTTTAAATGATTGAAAACAATTTTTCATTTTCTCGTGTTGTTCTAACTGATTTGATGTTATCTTTCATTTATAAATTTCCTTATCATTTCGTTTTATTTTCTTAAAATATTATATTTTACATTTGGATAGATCCGTCTACTTGACAGTTTCATTTAATGTCATTTCTTTTCCCTTCAAAAATTTCAACTTTATTTCTAAATTAGATTTTTTCAGCTTTCTTTCTCGAATGAAGAAAGGCATTATCAAAAATTCATCACAAATTTTTTATGATAAATGGAAGCTATCTGTCAGAAAGTAAATAATACTTTATGAACTGTTCTTTTCTTTTTTTTTAATAAGACATTTTCAAAAATTCATAAATTAAACAAAATTATGCCTTTGTTTTCTATCATTTTCGTGTTTTTCTCTTTTTTTCTCTCTCTTCTCTTCTTCTTTTCTAATTCTTATCACAGTAAGAGAAAAATAAAAATTGAAAGCTGTCTGACAAATTATTATAATTTAATTGATCAAACCTCTTCAAATAATTCAACCCTTTTTCTCTATATCATTCCTCATCTCTTCCATTCTTACTTATTTTATACTATCAATTTTTGATATTTCTAATTTAAAATACTTAATTCTAATAGGCTTTTGATATGCCTTAAAAACTAATAAAATTCCAGGCTGTTGTATTTCTGGAACTGAAAATTTGAAGAGATTTGATTCATTTCGATTTGTTATATTTTTTTTATTGTTCAAAAGTTTCGTATTATTCATATGAGAAAGTGTAATTTGAACACAGAACAGCCGTAATTGCTTTTAGTTTTTGACTTGAAAGTTTTGTGGAACTTTCCGTTACAAGCACAACTGATCACTCACCATTTGCGTTTGGCAATATCTTGTCATTTTGAAATTTTCTGAAACCTTTCGGAAACTGAAGATGCCTTTGGAAACTTTTCACAATATTCATTTTAAAAAGATGACGAATAGTTTTATTAAGAATAGAGCATAGAGTTCGTAATAGTCTTTTAAGCAATAGGCATATTGCTCCACAAACTCTCACATCATGCTGAAATTTGTTGATATTAGTCGAAATTTTTTTTCAGTCTTAAATATTAGATAATTGAGCTTACTTTTTAAAAGATAGAATACGAAATGATGAAATGATATCAAATCGAGCATTTTTTAACTCTATTATCATTTCTCTTTTTTGCTCATACTATGATTAAAAATGTCTTATCAATTGATTTCCCATAATTCATTTCATAGCTGACCACTTGTGACAGCTGCAACGATAGATCTATGTGCAAGGAAATTGAATTTCAGTTGGTTAAATTAATTGAGCCCGAAAATCAAATTTTAGTTTAATTTGCATCGAGAAAGCTTTTGATTCGGTTCTGTAGAAGATACAACCATCGATTCATCCCATCTTTTCTTCTTTACCTTATAATAAATAAGTACATCATTCAACGCTATTTGAGTTCAGCATTACAAATTCATAACAAATGAATTTCCATTTTAAAAAAGGAAAAAAGTTGTTAGATTATTTTGTTCTTAAAAATATCCAATTATTAAATGATTGATATATAATACCATTCGGATGTTACATATTTTAAATGCTATTTTCCACGTTGTTAATTGGCAATTTTATTTGAGAGCTCTATCATGAATTGAAATATCTTAAATAAATGATAACGGGTATATCAAGTATCTCTACATCGATAAACATTGATATTATCAAACAGGTATAGTTAAGTAAGTAACAATAACGGAAGAAATGAATTTGATAATTTCATAGCTATGAGCTTTTCTTAATTTATTTGATAAATAATTTGACTATTGAAAATATTCGTGTTGACAATATTATTCTCACAACAACGCCATTAATTTGGATTTAAAATAAACAAACTCTTATATATTTCTTGTAAATGATTTCTTGTATTTCAGTACAATTTAATGTATTCAAAATTGGTGAAAAATAAAAGTAATGGGAATGGATGGATTAAATTTTTTGTTTATAATCAAATTAAATGACTTAAAATGATATTATTATCGGTATGTAATTAATTATTTCTATTCATCTTAAAATATCTTGCAATTCAATAATTTAAAGAATGAAGAAATTTCAATACATTTATTTTTTCGAAAATTATAAGAAATTGGTGATGGAACAGCCTGTTGGATCACTCTTATATTTCGATTATCAATTTTAAAGTTAGTTTAAATTTTTTAAAAAAATAATTGAAAATTTGAAATTGAGGAAATATTGAGAGAGAGAGAGAGAGAGAGAGAGAAGACAACAAAGCATTACTGACGTAAATCATTCAATTTTGGCTCTTTTTTCCTCTTTTACTAATACTTTTTTTTGATTTCGACATTCGTTCTTCAATTTCATTCTTCTTATTTTTCCCAATAAAATATCTTCTTCCTTCTTCTCTCTCTCTATCCCTCCCTCTCTCTCTAAAGAAATCTTTTTTGATCATTTTTTTGAATTACAAATTTAAAATCTTATAAAGTGTCACATATCCAATCCATATGACATATTAAAATGTCTTTCTGAAATCATTTTTAATATTTGTAAATCAGAAATACTGCATTTTATTCGACATTCAGTCAATATCGATATTATATTGAACAATTTGAATATTATATTAATGAAATGAATTTCTGTTGAATTTTCATTTTGCATATAAATATGAACTTTTCTTATGATAAAGCAAAATTTATTATTCATTTAAATAAAGTATTTTATCAGAGATGAATGGAAGAGAAGGTTAAAATGTCCTTAAAATGTAAATAACCTTTGTTAGATTACGGAACTTTTTATTGAACTTAATTAAAATTTGAAAGTGATTATTTTTAAACCCGAATTTCTTCAAAATTAAGAATTTTTCATTATTTATTGTATGTATGTACTGTTGACAGTTTCATATATGTTTTCCGTTTGAGCAAATTATAGTGATGTCAGATATACCATATGATTTACATTACCATGACTTAGATGATAGTAAGAATGGAATTTAAATTAAAATTTAACTTGATTAGGAAGTAGTCTTGTTTGGGCTTCATTCTACTTTTAGACCAGCTATTCATATCTAAATCAGATTGCTGCTTCTAAATTTTATCAGCTCAAGAAGTGCATAGAAAATTTTCAAAATTCTATTTACAGGAAATAATTTGTTAGGTTCATGATATTATAATGCATTTGGGATAGATTAAAATATTTCGTACGATCATTTATTTCTTACACTTTGAATAATAACACTTAAAAAAAAGGAAAAATTAATTAACTTTAATTAATTATGCATAAATTATTATGAGCAAATTGATCATATCCGATACGAAAAAGGTATCGATTACAAATAATTTTCTTTTTAAACAAACTTATTCAGAGATAACAATGTGCAACATTTCACAAACATTTTTCTTCTGATTAATCGTAATTTTTCGTCTTCTTTTTTCCACTCTATGAATTTTCTCTTTTGATAATTCATTTCGCTATTTGTTAAAGATATAATGCTCCATAATTATAATTAAAATTAATTAATGGACAGAAGCGATTGTATAAATAAAAGCGCTCTATTAGTAATTGTGTAGAATTTAGTAAATAGTTGTCCAAAAATTTAACTTTTTATTTCTTTTAATTTTTACAAAATTTTGTAAAATTTAGAAAACAAATGTGCTTATAAAATTAGGCTCTAAATATTCAACAAAAATTATTGCCTTAGCTCTCTTAAAAAGCCTATTATCAATACTGTTTACTCAATGAATACACTTAAGAAAAGTTCCTCTTGAATAGATTTATTTCTATCCTAAAATAAGTTGTAAAAAAAGTTTCTTTTTATTCTATGAGAAAATGGATTCTAGAATTTTAGAATTTTAGTTTGCTCTCCATTGATAAATCATCAAATCATAAAATGTGAATTGTGAATACTTATAATTTTATACGAATAATCATAAAGCGTTGCAGACGTAAACTGTATAGCGTAATTCACGTGACATACATTTCTAAGATAATATAATTTATATGAAAATGGGAAATATATAACAGATAGTATAGCACTCATTATTTGTATTATTTAATATCGTTTCAGCAATAATTATAAATAATTATGTATACGATTGCTTAATATTTGTAAATAATTCGAGAAAAAAGATAATATATTGGAGAAGAGAAAATTCATACTTCCATCTTTCATCTCACAGATTAATTTATATTTCCATTTTTTAAACTATTTCAAAAATTTATTCATTTGTTATTTTCTCTATCTTAATTTTAATATTTCATATCTGATTTGCCTCTCTATATATTTAACCTCGAAATATCGTAATAACCAATTGAACTAATGATATAAAGTTTCTTACAGTACATTCCTTATAGTTTTATTATTAATTATTATTATAATGATAAGTTAAAAAAGGATGATATCTATCTATACATAAGCTGGTAGTTGTGTCCATATCGATATCCATCCATATTTTTATTAATATAACTGAAAAACAAATTGATCAGAAGAATGCCATTCCTTTTTTCGCCTTTTCCCATTGGCTTTATTTAATGCAAATTTTAAGGAAATCTGTAAGTTATTCTTGTCCTGTTTTTTTCTTGTTAACATATTTAAAAAATGCCTTTCCAAAATTCGCGAAAATTTTTCCATGTCCTTAATTTTTTAACAACAATGCTTCCCATTGGATTTTACGGATCGATCGATCGATCAATTCTATTCAAGCCTTGCTGATAGAAAAAAACGATAGCTTTCCTTTTATTACAGCCTGAAGTATAGTGAAAATAATTTATGCTACATTTTTCAAAATAATTTTACTGGCTTAATTTAGAATGAAAATTGTTGTTATTTTGATAATAATGCCAGGAAGAGTGGGAAATGGAAAGTGAAACGTTTTCAACTTTGTTGTTGTGAGATTTGAGAAACTGAAAAACAAAAGATCTTTTAATTAACAATTAAAAGATTCTGGGATAAATGAATTTTGTGTTTTCCTTTTGCAAAAGTTTTCTTTGAACATTAGTGTTTAATACCAATCAAACGGATTTTGATTGAAACATAAATCTAAAAAAAGTTGTATTTTCTCATTTTATAGTTGTAAAGATATTCTGCCGCAGAAGGCAGTGCGTAATTTCCTCCTTTGAATAATTTATTTAATTTTTTCTATAAGAAATGTTCGAGCAATTTTTTAATTATTTATTTTGCAATTAATTATTGATAAAACCGCGAAATTACCTTTCGACAAACCTCTGAATATTATTGTTCTCCAAGCGACGTTCTCGTTTGTGGACGAGAACGTCTTCCAAAAATAAAGCGATATGATATACCGCCATTTTATATCCAATAACCTCATTAGCTTGGCTGTCCTGTACACTGCACAATTCAGGACAACCAAGTAAGGCACATAATTCACCGCTAAGGTCGCCAAACCTCTGTGAGGAATGAAAGACGAAGTGACCGTTTCAACTGACATATTTAAGATGCATTGTTGTTATTATTAAGTGGATTATTGTCCAGCAATGATCATAGAAATAAAGAGAGTTGTTTCTGTTATAATTTTACATGATTTGCTTTGATTGTTCGTAGTTAATTCATTCTACTTCATTATCTATGTTTCATTTTCACTTATCATTTGTGATCTTATGGATTTTCTGATAAGAACTAGGATTGTGATCTCTGCTAGTTAGTTAATTTTCAATGGATTATTGAAGTGTTATCAATTTGCACCCTCTCGAAAATTTTGTTTAGTGATAAATTCTATATTAAAAATTTAACGGAAGATTGGTTTTGAAATGCTCAAAGTTTCCCTTAAGATTCGTTTTACTTACCGACAAACTAAATAATTAGGCTGATTAAATAGCAGAATTTAATTACACAAGTGACAGTCTTTCCACAGTCTTTCCATTATATTACTATTAAAACTCGCATAAATCAACCGAAAATCTTAACGTTTTCGGCGTGTCTGAACGAACGCCTTCCAAAAAATAACGAGGTGAAAAACCACCTTTCATTCGAACAGTATATGTGTCGTTGGGGTATTTGCCCAACCTTTGTGAAGATAGGACAAATACGTCTTGACTAGCTTTCATATGGAACTTAAGATATCGCTGCTGTCATTAATGAGTTGATTGTTGTCCAGCGATGATCAAATAAATGAAGATGTTGCTTTTCTTTTCATGAGACCAGCAAAAACAACTATTTTAACGAAGTTGTGTGAATTGCATTTAATTGCTGATTCTCACTTAATCCTCGTTTACTTCCCTTCATTAATTATATCTTACCTCATTTATTCTACGCATTCCCTTCAAATTTCATTTTCTACTTTTTTCGATCTCTCAGATCGTTCGGTTTATGGCAGTTTTGCTTTGAATTATTTGCAAAGTTCAATCGATTATTCTTGTCATTATAATTTCATATTCTATTTTACAATGTGAAATTTAAAGATATATGAAATTTGTTTAAGAGAAAAGGAAAGCTGCCATAAGAAGACATATATTTTAATATTTTTTTCAAGTGATTAATCGATAATTCTTTTTAACTATTTCATATCAAAGATAAGATTGCAATGAGATTAAAATTTTTCAACTCTTTCCTATTACTTAAGGAACAATTACATTTTAATATCTTCCGTGAAGCTGTCACCAAATTCAAAAAACAATTCCTTTCTATTTATATTCATATCGAAGATAAGATTGCAATGGGATTCATGTTTAAGTTTGAATCATTATTATATATAATCGTTTCATGATATATACATTATCCAAAATTTTTTACCTATTTAAATGGCCACTTGATCGGTTCGTGCAACTTTGTTAACATCGATGTAGTAATTGTGATATCCATTGTCAATGAAGGAAATGCATTGTGTGAAACTAATTGAGTTAGTGGTTATATCGGTTTTTCAAAAATTTTTCATTGAAAATAGGCCCTCAATCCTTCATTATTTTTGTCCAATTTTCCCAAAATAAATTGAAATAATTTTGAAATATTGAAAAAGAATGCCTCAAAGAACTATCAAATTGTGTTTTTCTTTCATTTTATTTCTTTCAAAATTTGCAACTTTCATCTATCGCCCATTATCCTTCCCTTTATCCTTCTCCCATTATCCTTCCTCATTTATATCTAATTGTCACAAACTTTGGATGGCTAAGAGCGATAATACAAATGAACATTTCTCTTCCTTTTTTTCCCTATATAAAATTGATGGATTAATATTATAGGAAGAAGCGGTAATGTCCCACTTCGTGGCTACTTTAACCTCTTCTTCGTGGGAGAAAAATTTTCTTTTTTTTCGAAAATTTTCTTCTCGTTTTTTTCTCCTTTTATTATAATTTTAAATTCTTTAAAAAATTGAATCGATCGGTGAACTTTGAATGCTTAAATAAAATTTAAGTTTGTTGCAAATTGATTATGTCTAAAATTAAGCAATTATTCATTCATAAATATATTCAACAATAAGCACTTAAATTTTGTTGGCTCATTTCGATATTTCTTTTTTCATTATTTAAATGTTTACTACGATGAACAATATCGCCGGAGAATTTTAAATCTCATTTTTATTCACAAATTTTCTTTTTTCAATTCTCTAATCTTTTAATGAATCGCCGCAATGTTGGCAAAATTAGACTAAAAAAAATAAATAAATTCGAAAGAAAGCTTGTTGCCAAGAGCATCAATATTTGACCATTGGTCATAGTTGATTGGGTCATAAAGACAGACAGCATTGGTCGAAGCAAATAGAAGTGAGCTAAAATTGCAAGATATCATTAATATTTCAGGATGACGTGTTAGCTTGAATTACTTCGCAGCACTACTCATTCAGCGCTTCATCATAAATTTCAACCCTATTTTATTATTTTTTTAGAGCAGATACTACTAAAATCTATCTCTAGGCTCTTTTTTTATTCCAGTGTATTATCTCATATCAAAGGAGCCAACCTATCGTTACTACCTTCATTCTATTTTTGAAAATAAAAATTATTCGCAAAAATTAATTACTGCTAAATGAAATTAAGTAAGTATCGCTGAGATGAATATAAGTTAATTAACAAAATTTCCTTCATTTAAATGAATTCTATTGGCAGCTAATTCTTCTTGGAATCAGCGTTGGCTGAAGACAGATGAAAAAAGTAATAAGAAGGAAGGTGGCAAAGAGATATAATTTGCAAATTGAAGTTAAATTCGTATTTGAAATAAATTACTTTCTGTTTATAATTTATTGTTACTATAATTACTATAAATTGGCAATGGAAGCATTTCCTATTTAAGGGAGAAAATTTAACAGTTTCATCAAAATTTCTTATCGTTGAAAAAGTCTTAGAGAGGACAGAAAATGATGCATTATTCAGTTGCATATTAATTTTTCACGTCTTTTCCCACAAATGAAATCTGAAATTCGTTACTGTTTTTCGAAAGCTTTCGTTAATTTTCTAAAATTCATTTAATTTTTAATTTTTTTCTGGAATTTTATTTCCTTTTTTTGCTTTAATTTTGTATTATCTCAGAATGTTACTTTCATATTTTTGACCTTAACTTATACATATAAATTAAGAAAATTCCAAACTTTTATCCTTCAACTTTATTTAGGCTTGAAATGGATTTTGAGTGAAAATCCTTTCCTCTAAGACTATAACATATAAAACAATTTCCTCGATGTATTGAATTTCTCTTAAATTGATTCAAAGCTGAATCCATCCCTAAGCAATGAACGATAATTGCTATTCTTCCTGGCATACATTTTTCGTGAAACATAAAACTTAAAAGTAATCACAGTGTAGCTAACGTTTACTTTTTGTCCAATTTTCGCCAACTATAGCATTTTTTTATCGCTCTTATATTTGACAATTTCAAATTTGTCAAATTTATTTATGTTTATACGAATAAATTTGGACTACTTTACACGTACGTATACGAATTACGTAATACGTTTAAATACACGTGTATGGATAAATGAATTACGTGTAACTCTAAATGTCTCCTTTAATATATATTTTTAATTTTCCCTTTTTGAATTCTTAAACAAAAAATTTTTTTGCATTGTTCCATTGTCATTTGTAAAAAAAATTCTCTGGAAAATAAGCTATTTAAAATATATATTTTTTGATTATCAAAACAGGAAATCCTCTTCATCATATTGATTTATATCATCGACTTATCGTTAGTCCTCAAATAAGCCTCTCCATCCTTCTTCGAGCAACCAGTGATTAATTTTAAGAGTTCTAAACAATACATGTCTGGAGGTCTTTACTTCTAAATGAGAATCAGCTGCCAGGAAGTTAATTCTTGGATGTACGATGAAATAACAAAATTCATTGCCGAAAATATTAAAAATAAAAAATTTTTTGTCCCTTTACTTAGAAATTCATCAACAAAAAATTTACTATACAATTTGCAGGTTTGCACATTTATAAAATTAAGTTGCCAAAGTTTAGATGAATAATTAATTCGGTAATTTTACTTCATTTCCTCATTTCCAAAATTGATATCTTAGTTGGAAGCCTGATATTTGCTAATTAACCGGAAAATCCAGGTGTTGATCAGAATGAAATGAATACAACTACGAGGAGAATATCATCATTGGGAGAAGAAAAAGAATGCCAAGAATAATTCAATAAGCTATCTCATTTACAAATATAAATACGGAAAAAGTGCGTCAGTCATTTCAAAAATCCATTTTGTGTACTAATAATAGCAACTATTTTCCCTATAGCTTCCACCAAAAAGGACTGATAATTCAAATTTCATTGCTGACATTGACATAATGCATTTGAGGAATAATCAGAATAGAAGCAATTTGAAATGAAATGACGAAGATCAAAATTCCCATCAATGCTGTCACTAAAAAAGCTAACTGTCATATGATAAGTGTATGTATTTGTTATAGAAGTGAAGGATTGATTTTGTTGTGTAATATTTGTGAATACACTACGGGATAGTGGATTGAATTGAAATACGAGATGTATAAACTTGATGTTATTTGATTGATAGCAAAAATTTTATTGATTGATGATTTCATTAAAATTATCCTATTTAAATAAATTTAATTCGATAAATTTGTTGAAATATACTGAGAGAGAGGTTAAAGGTCAATGGTCATTGTGAGAGAATGGTCATTGTAATTGTCAATGGTCATTGTAATTGTGAGAGAGAGAGGGGGAGAGAGAGGGAGAGAGAGAACTACTTTTTTTTGAAGCTTTATATGATGGAAAAGAATGAGCAAATTGAGAAATGACTTTAAAATAAAATGGGATTCGATTGATCGTCCGTCCATTTTGTCCCAAACAAGGAAGGAAAAAAATGAATCATTCATTACTAAGCAAAAGCGTTTTCTTTCTCTTCTCATATTTGTTGGATGCTTCCGTTTTTAAGGATTACCATTTCCTTTTTTAGTCATTGGCCAATTATTTTCTATTCCCTTTGGCTAGTAGTACATTATACTAAGTGAAAATGAAGCAAAAAGTGCTAAGTTTATGAGAAAGGTGTCAATTATTCTATTCCGGATAGCAAAAAGTGTTAAGTTTATGAGAAAGGTGTCAATTATTCTATTCCGGATAGCAAAAAGTGTTAAGTTTATGAGAAAGGTGTCAGTTATTCTATTCCGGATAGCAAAAAGTGTTAAGTTTATGAGAAAGGTGTCAGTTATTATATTCCGGATAGCAAAAAGTGTTAAGTTTATGAGAAAGGTGTCAGTTATTCCGAACTATTATTATTCTCCAAATCATCGAAAAAAAACTATTGTTCCATTTTTAAATATTAAATTTCATTTCAGTTATTTTATTTGTTTTTTTTTGTTGAATAATCAATTAATTAATTATAAAATTCATTCATATTCATTGCTTATATTACAATTTAGTATAAATTAAATGAGTATATTACTGATAATATTGATATTATCATCTAAAATTATCATTACAATTTATAATCTTTTTCAGCTAAACTTTTATCTCGCTCTTTTTCTTCTTCTTCTTCCTTCTAACCTTATCACATCTTCGTTCTCTATCTCTTTATCTCTTTCAATGACTGATTGATATCCTATTGATAATAAAATTATTGATTGAATGGACTTTAAAATGTACCTAAATATTCCTTC